TGTGTGTGTGTGTGTGTGTGTGTGTGTGTGTGTGTGTGTGTGTGTGTTCACCACCTGCTCATTAAAACCTATTATTGCCAAATGAGGACTAAACAAATTGATTTAATACTTCACCAAACCTTGTAGTGTCTTTATCCAAATTAATTAATCCAATAATTTAACACTTCATTAATTCAAACCACAACGGTTATCCAATTAAAATTTCATGTAGCAATTAGAGGTATGTGAAATATACACAATCTTGTTAATTATGCGTAATAAATAATGTGCTAACTGCGTGTGTGAGGTCCTTACCGGCTTCGTGGTTTTCTCGGTGCCTTTTCTGGTTTTAATGTCAGCCGATTAATGATTTCATTTAATTATGTGCAGGGGCAGTTAATCTACAATTCTACATGTGAATTCACAAAACTGCTTCATAATTTATTTATTACCATCTGCAGAAGCATGGCTTTGGGTGGGCGGGGCTAGAAATGGGCGTAGTATGATTAGACCCACCCCTTTTGTACAAAGTCATATATATTGTTTTCTTTTTTATTTCTGCTTTGGTGCTTAAGTTAAGAGAAAAAGGTATCTAAGTGAACCATCTTCTACCTGTTAGCAGGTCCAGGGGAAAACTTAGACCCCCCCTCCAGCTCCGTCTGCGGGATCTCAAGCTGTTCCCAGGCCAGTGAGTTCTGGGTCTGCCTCGCTGCACCTCGCCCAATGAAGGAATCTTTCAGCTGCTGGATCCAGGATCTGGTTTTCGGTCCAGATCCAAATCTCATGGCCACAGGTGAGGGTTGTAACTTTTTTCTTCTTCTTTCGGCTGCACCCTTCCTCGGGGGTCGCTACAGTGAATTATCTCGCACGAAGACTTGTTGTTACGCTTTTTACGCTTTCCTGACACAACCACAGACCACCAAGCTACCACAGCCCTCTGTGTGGAGCAGATGGTGGGGATTAAGGGCTTTGCTCAAGGGCCCAGAGTGGAGCAAATGAGGATGGGTGCTTCACCATTCCCACCCACATTTAGATGTTGTTGATCTAGGGGGTCGAACTGGCGACCTTCCGATCACAGGCTCACCTTCTCTACCCTCAGTGCCACCATTCCATACAGACCTAGAGCTTTACCTGTTGATTCAACTCTTTCTTCACCATGATGGACCAAAGCAACACCCTCATTACAGGAGGACAAAACCCAATGTGTCAGTCCATCTACCGCTCCATCCTACCATCACTCAGAACACAAGAAATTATTTAAATCTTACATTTTAAAATAATTTATTAATATCTAAAACAAAAACAAGGAACTCAGTGTCCCTTCACAAGACGTGGGTTACCAGGGACCCCACCCTGGAGCCAGGCCTGGGGGAACGGCTCGTTGGCGGGCGCCTGGTGACCAGGTCTCTACCCATGGGGCCCGGTCGGGCCCAGCCTGACGAAGGAATATGGGTTTGCCTTCCTGTGGCCCCACCACCTGCAGGAGGGGTCATACAAGCTCATTCGTACTCATTTACTCACACAGACTCATGTTCGTGCTGCTGTTGTTCAGCGTATTGTTTTGCACTATTAGTGTTTAGCGTATTTCTTATTTTATATCTTAGATCCTTATTTACTGTTTCTTTTTACACTTTATATTGTTGCTATTGTTGGATGTAACTGGGACCCTGTGTAAATAATTTTGTTCCACCTCATGTACCACATGTGATGTGAATGACAATAAAACCATTCATCTTGCTTTTGTATAGTAATTTTGTTTGGAATATATTTTGGGGACAAGGGGCAGATATTATAAGAATTCATTCTTCTTCTGCTGCCTTTCATTTTATTTCGGTGATTGTATATCTTTTTTCTTTTCTTTAAATTGTATTATATTTGTTGTTTGGATGAAATGAAATGAATAAATAAAACATACATACATACAATAAAACCTACTTGAACTTGAACAAGTCGGGTGCATGATACCATGGGCAGTGGCCAAAGGCGGGGACCTTTGCGCTCTGACCCTGGCTTATCAAAGCTGGCTCTTGGGACATAGAACGTAACCTCTCTGGAGGGGAAGGAGCCTTAGTTTGTGTGTGAGGTTGAGAGGTACCGACTAGATGTAGTTGGGCTCACCTTGACGCACAGCATGGGCTCTGAAACCAATTCCTTTGAAAGGGGCTGGACCTTATTCTACTCTGGAGTTGCCCGTGGTGAGAGGAGCTGAGCTGGTGTTGGTCTACTTTTGGCCCACCAACTTGGTACCTGTGTGTTGGAATTTTCCCCAGAAAATGAGAGAGTAGCTTTCCAGCACCTTCAGGTGGGGGACGTTCTCTGACTGTTGTTTGTCCCTACGCATCAAACAGCACTTTAGAGTATCCGGCTTTCTTGGAATCCTTGGCAGGGGTGATGGAAGATGTTCCAGCTGGGGACTCCTTTATTCTGTTGGGGGGGGGGGGGGGGAATTCAATGCCCATGTGGGTAATGACAGTGTGACCTGGAAGGGCGTGATTGGGAGAAACCGTCGCTGATCTGCAACTGAATGGTGTTCTGATGTTGGACTTCTGTGCTAGTCATAGTTTGTCCATCACAAACATCATGTTTGAGCATAAGGGTGTCCATAAGTGCACTTGGCACCAGGACGCCCTAGGTCATAGATTGATGAATGACTTTGTAGTTGTGTCATCTGATTTGCGGTTGTTTGTTTTGGACACTTGGGTGAAGAGAGGAGCTGAGCTGTCAACTGAACCTGGTAATGAGTTGGGTCAGATGGCGGGGAAAGGTGCTGGACAGACCTGGTAGACCCAAACGTGTAGTGAGAGTTTGCTGGGAACTCCTGGCAGAAGAACCCATCAGATAGATGTTCAACTTGCACCTCCGGGAGAGATTGAACCACATCCCAGCTGAGGTGGGGGATATTGAATCCAAGTGGGCCATGTTCTGAACCTCAGTTGATGTGGCTACCTTGAGTTGTGACTGCAAAGTTATTGGTGCTTCTCACGGTGGCCATCCTCGAACTCAGTGATGGACACCCCAGGTTATGGAGGCTGTCAAGCTAAAGAAGGAGTCCTATCAGGCCTTGTTGGCTGGTGGGACTCCAGAGACAGCTAAGGAGTACCGAAGGGCCAAGCGGTCTGCAGTCTTGGCAGTGCTGAGGGGAAAGCTCGGATGTGGGAGGAGTTCAGCGAGGCCTTGGATAAAGACTCTCGGTCTGCTTCGAGGAGATTCTGGCAAACCATCAGGTGGCTGAGGAGGGGAAAGCAGCTCTTTACTAACACTTTGTTCAGTGAAGGTGGGGTGCTGATGACCTCAACCAGCGATGTTGTCGAGAGGTGGAAGAAATATTTCTCTGACCTTCTCAATCCCACCATGGAGGAAGCCGAGTTGGGGGGACTTAGGGGTTGGTCTGTCTACAACCATGGCTGATGTCACTGAGGTAGTTAAAAAGCTCGGAAGCAGCAGGGCTCCAGGGATGGATGAGATTCACCCCGATTTCCTTAAGGCTCTGGATGTTGTGGAGCTGTCTTGGTTGGCATGCCTTTGCAACATCCCATGGACATCGGGGACAGTGCCACTGGATTGGTAGTCTGGGGTGGTGGTACCCCTCTTCAATAAGGCGAACCGGAAGGTGTGCTCCATTTATAGGGGCATCACTCTCCTTAGCCTCCCTGGTAAGGTCTATTCAGGGGTACTGGAGAAGCGAGTCAGATCGTTGGTCGAACCTCAGATCCAGGAAAAACAATGTGGGTTCTGTCCTGGCTATGGAACACTGGATCAGCTCTTTGCCCTCACTAGGGTCCTCAAGGGGACATGGGAATTTGCCCATCCAGTCTACATGTGTTTTGTGGACTTTGAGAAGGCATTTGACCATGTTCCTCAAGGTACACTGTGAGGGTGCTCCATGAGTATGGGATTGGGGGCCCATTGTTACGGGCTGTTCAGTCCCTTTACAAGCGGTGCAAGAGTTTGGTTTGCATTGCTGGTGGTAAGTCTACCCATCAGGGTGGGAGATGGTCTCTGCCAGGGCTGCCCGTTGTCACCAATTCTGTTCATAATTTTTATGGACAGAATTTCTTGGTGCAGCCAGGGGGTGGAGGGATTGAAGGTCTGTGGTCTCAGGATTTCTTCTCTACTCTTTGCAGATGATGTGGTCCTGTTGGTGTCATCGTGCCGTGATCTCCAGCTCTCACTGGAGCGGTTTGCATCTGAGTATGAATCAGCAGGGATGAGAATCAGCACCTTCAAACCGAGGCCATGGTCCTCAGTCGGAAAAGGGTGGATTTCTCTCTGCAGGTCGAGGGTGAGGTTCTGCCTCAAGTGGAGGAGTTCAAGTATCTCGGGGTTTTGTTCATGAGTGAGGGAAGAATGGAGCATGAGATTGACAGAAGGATTGGTGCAGCATCTGCAGTATTGTGGACTCTGAACCGGTCTGTTGTGGTGAAGAGAGAGCTGAGCTGTAAGGCAAAGCTCTTTACCGGGCGGTCTACGTTCCTACCCTCATCTATGGTCAAGAGCTCTGGGTAGTGACTGAAAGAATGAGATCGCGGATACAGATGGTTGAAATGAATTTCCTCCAAAGAGTAGCTGGACTCTCCCTTAGAGATAAGGTGAGAAGTTAAGGCATCTGGGAGAGACTTGGACAAGAACCACTTGCTCCTTCACATCGAGAGGAGCCAGTTGAGGTGGTTCAGATATCTGGTAAGAATGCTTCCTAGGTGCATCCCTATAAGGAGGTGCTTTGGGCCTGTCTGACTGGGAGGAGACCCCGGGGAAGACCTAGGACATGCTGGAGATATTATGTCTCTCAGTTGGCCTGAGAACATTTTGGAATCCTCCCAGAAGAGCTGGAAGAAGTGGCTGTAGAAAGAGATGTCTAGGCCTCCCTGCTCAAGCTGCTGCCCCGCGACCCAACTTCACAACAAGCGGAAGATAATGGGTGGATATTTCATTTCATTTATTAGTTTATTTGACTGGGACAATGCACACAAAAAATAGAACAGGTCTGTGACTGATGATTTGCACAAGGAGTACAACTACAGCTATTTTGCAACTCCAGTCCCTGGTTGGGCATTTCTATGCATTAAAATACAAACAATTTATTAATCAAAATACAGGTACTTTACATTTAAGATTACATAAGTATTCCTGCCTACATATTCATGTAATCAACCTTGCAACCTCCAAATACATATAAAAATATACACTAAAACACAACTTAAAAATAAAAACATAATAAAAATACCAACGTTTTCCTCCTAATAATATTAATATCTCCATCTCATGCTGCTGTATTCATTCATCCCCATTTACTCACTACACTCATGTTGAGCCGCTGTTTAATACACCGTATTATTTTAATTATTAGTGTTTGGCATATAACTTAGATCTTTTATCGTTTAACGTTCATTTAGCGTATATCTTAAATCCTTATGTACTGATTCTTTTTATACTTTTACTTTATATTTGTGCTATTTTTTGGTGTAACTGGGACCTTGAGTACACAATTTCATTACACCTCATGTACCACATATGATGTAAATGACAATAAAGAACCTTGAAATTGAACCCAATAGGCAGCACAGTTGGTAGAGCCGTCGCCTCTCGGCGAGGTTGCCGGTTCGAATCCTGGCCAGGGGCCTTTCTGGGTGGAGTTTGTATGTTCTCTCTGTGCATGCGTAGGTTTTCTCTGGGTACTCGTTTCCTCCCACAGACAAAAAACATGCATGTTAGGCTGATTGGTAATAAATTGTCCCTAGATGTGAGTGAGAGAGTGAATGGTTGTTTGTCTTGTTTGTCTCTGTGTCCCTGTGATGGACTGGAGACCTGTCCAGGGTGTACCCCGCCCCTCGCACAGTGATTGCTGGACATGGGCGATCCCCGTGACCCAAAAATGGAAGAAGCGGGTAAAGACGATTTATTTTAAGATATGTGATCTTTACGTCACTTGTGATATTTTTTTTGCTCTTTTAAACTAAACTGGATCAAAAACTGAATATTTTGTTGTATAAAACAGAAGCAGCTTCTTTTATTCTGGCAACACTGCTGCTGCTATCAAGGCACTGGAAATTCAGAAGAAAAAAATATCTTTGTACCTTTTTTTGCGTTGCATTAATTCTTTATTTCTTTACAGACAATTCAAATCATTACTTCAGGACATTTTTATTTAAATACAACTTTTCGGCGCTGAATGTGATAAAATGAAGATCCATCTGGCTCAACAGCTGGAATGACCAACGAGTAGCTGAAAGGAAACCTGTTGATCTTGGTTCATAATTACTCAGCTGCTCAGAGACACACAAGCACATTTAAAAACACAATATCTGACGTTAGCTCAGTTCTAAACCCTCTACAGAGAAAAAAATGACAATAAGTGAGACCCTGCAGCATCAAATGCAGCATTTGATTCTGCAACACAAGTTTCCAGTTAATTAGCTTTAAATGGATCATTCTGAATCACATGAGCTTTGAGAGTTTGGTGGGACTGTTCATGCTGAAGGGGCTGTGAGACTTGCGTTTGGTTGGCTGGCTGCTGTTCACTGCAGCTCTCTCTCTTGTGTTCTCAGGGTTGCTGCCGGGGGACGAAGAAGGGTTTACCTGATCCTGGATAACCGGACTGAGGGAACCAATCCTGACCTCGTCCAGAGGATCAAACAACAAATCAAAAGACAGCTCTTCGGTGTGAGAGGGTCCTCCGCGCTCTGCAGAGTCACCGCTCATCGTAACGGACACCTGGGCTGAGGAAGCTTCCTCTTCGGAGCCGGTTGGAGCCTCTTTGGTATCCGATGTGCGGCCCGTGCAGTCGTCTGGACACTGGTTCTGATGTCCGGCTTGGACTTCGGGTTTGGCAGCATCGCTCAGGCACGTTTTTGGCTCTGGGACCAGAGTTCCATCCAAGTCTACTTGAGGAGAGGAAGCCCAGGAGAGCTGCGAGCCCCGGCTGCTGGAACTTTCTCCGTCCAGCATCATGGAGTCCAACTCTGAGATTTTGTCCAGGTAAGCCGCATCCATGGAGGCCTCGCTAGCCGTCTGAAAACTGTCCGGCTCTTCACTTATCGAATCGGAGGACGAAGATTCCCCCGCTTCACTTTTTTTACTCGGACCTGGACGGGACGGCTCGTGAGAACTCTGCCACAAATCCCAGAAGACGGACTTTGACGGGTCCGCGTTGTGGAGATGCAGGGCTTTGGGGAACTTCTCCAGGCTGCTGAATCTGTTTCCCGAGGTTTTCCTGGGAGATTCTTCAAAATCAAGCCGTCTCAGGAAAGTCACGGGTTTGAATGAAACTTTCTTTTCTCGGATGGTTGGACTCCTCAGGGTCAGAGAGCGGAAAGCCGAGGAAGGAGTAGAGGGCAGGAAGTCCGAGGTGTTTTCAGCGTCCTCGTTGTTCTGCTCTCCGGTCGGATCTTTACGCTCCGTAGACGGCATGAACACCAAACTCTGGTTTCTCTGGAACGTTTGGCTCTCTGCCTCTGGGTTGCTGCAGATGGACACTCTCTCGCTGTCACTCAAACTTCTCATCATCATGCTGATCTTCTGTTGCTGGACGAGAGCTTCTGCAGCACCCTTGTTACTCCTGAACGCCTCCTGGGCTTCCAGCTGTCTCTTCTCGGCCTTTTTGACCCGGGACTCCAGGTCGTCGACGTACTGGTCGCTGCGTTCCAGAGCTCTCTTCAGGTGGTCCACGTCGCGCTCGTACTGCTGGATTTTGGCTTCCAGCGCCGCCACCGTGTATCGCCCAAACCTGAGGACAGATCATCTCGTCTTAAAATCGCCACAAACCGTTTGCTTTGCGGCACCATGAGCCACAAACCTCTGAGAAACTCATGTACATGTTGCTTTTACATCAGAGCAATTCTACACGTCACCCATCAGCGTGCACACCCACGTTTTAAACAAACGTGTTCCATCTGGTCAGCATGACATGAAGATAGAGCTCTACCACTGCACCACCGTTCAGCTTCACATCTTCTAAAGTGACTGAGTTTGAGTCATTTTTGTGTTTACCAAAGGCAGCGCCTCCCCGGGCCAGTTGGCGACTCAGAATGATGAGATTGTAACAGGAAGGTGAATTTTTCTGTTGCAGCCTCTTAATTCTGAGTAGTTGCGAGCAGCGAGCCGCACGGCCACGTTCTGAGTAGGCTGCCACGATGACAAGTTTTGCTGGGCGATTAATTGTCTCAGAAATTATTGTGATAAACGATAATATTGTTTGAAATTTAACAATAATTGGTAATTATTGTAAATTTTAAGAAGAACTGTTGGTTAATTTGTTTTGTGTAAGTACTTTTTTTTGACCACCGGATGGCAGTATAAGACAGTTTGAACCGAAGGATGGATAGTGAGGGAGTGAGCAGCGTCTCTAAGAAAAATGGGAGGGAGGCCCCTTGACGTGACATGGGCTGTCTCCAATTCCTTTTTTCGGTTCTCAAAGTGGAGGACGCTCGATGTGGTTTGAGCTCTTTAGCATAGCATTTTTTTCACACAAAGCTTTTAATTAAAAAAAAAATATCAGTAAACAAGTTCACAGCTTCTTTTTGCAGAGAAAAACATTTTTGACAAAAGGAATGAGTTTCAACCGTGAATTTTGAAGCTTTGACAAGACAGAGGTTTTTTCTCGAGGTCGGCCTGTTAGCTTAACTCGTAGCTTAGCTTCTCAGCTTAGCTGCTTTTAACGATCCAAAAATGTGATTTTGGATCGTTAAAACAGATTTTCAAGAAAAAAGGAGGGGTCAGTGAAAAGCACCGAAGTGTGGCCTTTTGTCATCCAGTGTCTTCAGTAGAAAGAGAGAGACGGTAAATGAAAATGAGATGGATAATTTCCATTTATCATGCGATTAATTGATTTATTGTTTATCGTGACAGGCCTAGTTCTGAACAGCCCGTTTTGTTCAAGACAGCCCATTATCATCTGCACGGCTCGTAAAACTGTATTCTTAATTGTGCACAGTATTTCATTGTCCACATATCACCCACCTCAACGCTTTAGAAATGAAGAAGAGCAAATCTGGACCAGTTATTTATGTATTTATTAATATTTATTATGTTTTAGATCCGGACATCAGCGGCTGTAGCCTCGATGTTTTGTAGCCTGAAGCCTCAGATGATGAGAAAACTGACAATCCCCGAGAACGTTTTGAGACATTTTGGAGACTCCCTCAAAAATGTTATTTGCCTACCTTTAGGTGGATTAGCTGTGGCGGCCATCTTGAACCAGACTGAGTCTAAAAGCTGCAGCCGTGGTTGTTTTCTGAAAAGTTTCATTAAAATTCATCCACTGGTCCATGAGATATTTTGATCACCCACATTTAATGACTAATAAAATTTGTATTTTGGAAAATAAAACCTTCACATTTGCACAGAAGGATTTTGTTTCTACCAGAAAACAGTTGCTTTTTTTTACGTTTTAACTCGTTTTATGATTTTTCAGCGTTAAGTGTTGGAGAAAAGGGATAAAAACTTTTATATTAAAGCCATTAGCCACAAGGGTTTGGTTATTTTTCATCTAAAAACCTAAAAATCAATTTATCAAATCAGAATAAGGAACATCAAAAGAATAATGAATTGATAGCAGTAACAAAAAAGCAGCTTAGACACTATTTTTTTTTTTTACTGCTCAAGATGAAGTATTTCAGAGAGCAGGAGCTGTTCAGAAACATTTGTTGGTCACTGAAACATGAACTGATGTTTGTTTAAAAAAAATTTAAACGAGAGATCACAGCAGGAAAAACAGATTCTGTGCTGAAAAGACGAACGTCTTGGACGACGTGAAACAAAAACTCACTTCTGGGGAGATCTGCTCGCCACCTCCGCCTTCAGCCTCGTGTTCTCCTGGACAAGGTCGACGTTTTGAGACCGCAAGGCCTTGTTGGTCTGAAATAAACACAATAAATACCAGAATAAAGTTATTTCATGACTGTATTCTGTCTTCTCATACGGTCCCCTGTACGTTTGTGTGAAAACTGTAAACAATGCAAAAATGTAAAGGTTTCACAAAGTCTTTATCTGAGCTGAGAATGTTTGTTTTCTGTATTCTGAGGTCAATGTGGACGTTCTCGCCCCCCTAGTGGCGCAGTATGGGTACTTCAGTGTTTTTGCTAAAAATGTAAAAGACAAAACAGAATAAATTATTGTAGGTAGGTTATTTTTGATATCGGGTATTGATAGCGAACGACACTGACAGCCGATAAAGTCCAAGTTAAATCTGGTTAAATTAGCAACAGGACAGCGACACTGAAAAGCCAAATTAATTCAGTTTTCGAAGAACTGCACAGTTCCTGCCAGCTTTCCTTGCTGCTTCACGTGTGACTGATTGCTCATCCGGCGCCAGCTCCGTGTTAAACGAGCGAGCATGAATGGACAGCCTGTTGCTGACCAGCTTCATAAAAACCGAAACACGCGAGCTCTGTTGTCAACTGGGGGGGGGGGGGGGGGTACCTCTCTCAGCTTGTCCATGTCCTGCTTTATCTTTTCACAAACGTCTGTAGCGGCTTGCAGCTTGTTCTTCCATTCCTCCATGATGAACGGGGACACTCCTGTGTCGTCTGGCTGCTCCGTGCTCAAGGCGCAGGGGTCCAGGGCGGCCCTCAGCTGCTCCTCCAGATCTTCCGTTTTTCTTTTTAGCTCCTTGTTTTCTTTTAGGAGCCCATCGATCTCCTCCTGTCAGAGGGAAGTTTCACAAAAACAAAATGTAGCTACGAGTTTAAAAGTTGTCGTCTGCATAACAACACTAAAACGGGAATATTGGTAAAAAAAAAAAAAAAAAGTGATTCTTTTTCAAAACAAATGTTTAATGCTCCGCTGCCCAATAAACAAGCATACGCTTCTTCTTTTATTTTTGTTTTTATTGGGATTATTTGTAGAACCGTCAGTTTAAAGATTCTCACTTTCATCACTCGCACAAATCAAACTAATACTTTGGGAGATGATGCAAGAAGACTGCAGTTCTGTTTTCAGTTGTGTATTAAAAAGGTATTTATACGGACAAATATTTGTACTGCAACACGCCCTGTGTCGTTAAAAAACGGTTCTTAGCAATCAGTTTGTGATTGGACAGCACCAAACAGGCCTGAACAGCCTCAGTGTGTAATGAAATATCCTGATGCTCAATAATCCAGGAAGATGAATCCAACAAGGCTAAGTCAGGTCCTCTGGATGGTTCTTCTTGTTGAAACGTTTCGTCTTTTATCCAAAAGACTTCTTCAGTCTGAGGATCTGCAACAAACTCAGTCTTATAAGTAGCATCTTCTCATAGTGCCAGGAGATGTTCAGTGTCAGGGGGGCTGTGATCAGTTTTACATCAGGGGAAACTAAACAGCCACTGGCCAAAAGGATGGACCAGCACAGAAGATCAACATCATCAGGCCAGGACTCTGTGGTCTTCACTCATCTCCAGGCCAGCGGTCACTCGTTCAGGGATGAAGATGTTCACATCCTGGACAGAGAGGAACGATGGTTTGAGAGAGGAGTGAAGGAGGCCATCTTTGTGAAGAGAAACCGTCCATCATTAAACGGGGTGGAGCCTCCAGGTTCAACTGTCACCTCTTACAATGCTGTGATTGCTAGTATCACTCAGCCCTCTGTGAATAGTAAACAGCCATCAGGGCGTTAACGATCGGTCGATAGGCTGATGGTTCTCCTTCTACACGTGAACTACGGTAGTTTGGGCTGTCAGAAGCAAACTGGTTGATCCACAATGAGAAGGTGCCATTTATACGACTGAGTTTGTTGCAGCTCCTCAGACTGAAGAAGTCTTTTTGTATAAAAACGTTTCAACAAAGAAGAATCTGTTCAGAGGACCTGACTCAACTTGTTGGACACACTGAAATGGTTTCTTCCTCAGACCAGCCCTTGGAGGTGGTCTGGACCTTTTACATCCGCAGAGGTTTGACCCGATGCAAGCAGCAAAGTTCAGCTGCGGCTCTTTAGTTTTGGTTTTAAACATTTTAACAAACTGTTTATTAAAACCCGTCTCGATGTGGATGTCAGTTTTGTCGGGAGTTTCTACGGGACGTCGTACAGAAGAGTTTCTCTTTGGTTTAAATGTTTGTTCTGATTATTTTCAGTCCGCTGCGCTCCGTCAGAGGACAACAGTCTGAGTAACACCGAGCTCGTGTGAAATTCACCGTGGAGTTGTGTCAGGGTCAAGAGACGCCCGTCGACAAACTATTATACACAACCTATAGCAACGGCTCAGACAAGCACAGACCTTGTTTTAATTTGACCTTCATTTGTGACCTTGAAGCACAGCGAAGGGTTTATGCCAGCTGCTCTACGAGGTTAGCCAAGTGGTTTTAAACGGCGCAGATTTGCTTTCCTAACTGACGGTTCTGCCCATTTCCTTCCACTGGCGCTAAATAAACCATGAACGAGCGACAACCTCGTACTCCCGCAGCAGCAGTTCTCCTCTGGTTTTCCGGAGGCTTTTCCTCATCGAAGGATTATCGCTGTAATCGCCGTCGTTCGTTCCTCCTGAGACAGAAACACACGAGAGCAAGAAAAGATCATCAGAAGTAAAGAAGAGCTAACAGCAGTGTTGGCTCCTGAGCAAATGTCCTCTCTGCTCCAAATGGACCTAAACAGAACATCTGCACAACACAGAAGGTCCTGCTGCAGCTCTTCCTGCGTTTCAGCTCTCAAGTTCTAATAGTGGTCGTAGCAACAAGCTAAAATCAGCCGAATGTGTCCGCAGGGCAGAAACGCTGACGTCCCAAATGAAACTCTCCTAGAGCGGTCTAACCAGGTGGAGTCAGGTCCTCTGGACGGATTCTTCTTGGATGAAACGTTTCGTCTTTCATCCAAAAGACTTCTTCAGTCAGACCGAAGACACATTCGGCTGGTTTATGGTAAACGACAATTTAGAGCAGAAAAGCTAAATGTTAGCTTAAAAAAAAGGGTTGTAAGCTCGATCATCCAGGTAGATAACAACAAAGCAGGTTAAATGTGTCTTCTGGACAATGGTAGGGGTAACACTGGTTTAGGAGAGGATTGTTTTGCTGGACTGGAATTAAACAGGGGGCGACAGGAAACCTAAATGTTTTGGTGCAAGATATTCCAGAGGGTAAGAGTTAAACTGTGAAGAAGAACAGTGAGTTTTGTTCTTCTTGTCCTGGCAAAGGGAGGCGGCAATTTTAACCACCACCAGGTGCAACACTGGAGCCAGGGGGTGGCCAGTGGTGGCCCTGGCCCCCATAGGTTAATCTCCGGCCACCCCAACCATTAGAGGAAATTAGACTTGTACAAAATTGTCAAACTAGAAAGTTTCCTCAAATAATCCAGGAGGCTGGTTTACATACTTATATGGTGGCCATCTTGGATTTGGTCGTGGCAACCCAATTTTTAATGTTGACCCGTCTTACACCTAGATCAGGAGTCTGCAACCTGTTTGGTCCCTCTTTCAAGCTGTGACCAAAACTAACAAAGAAGTGAATTTTATTGGTTGTTATACCAACAACAACAAACGGGCTAGGTTTAGCAGTTAGCCCGTCAATTCATTTGCAAATACGTCAACACTAGTACTAATACAAGGAGTAAAACATACGTACGATATTCTGTATTTCTTCAGTGTCGGATAATTCATTAATTTTTCCACAATAAAAAAATTAAAACCTCATAGGCCTGCATTGTTTATATTTTACATTTAAAAAATGGTAAGATGTTTTTTTTTTCTCCTTAAAATGTAAAAATATGTTAAAAATCGATAAGATATTTTTAGTTTTATAATACTGGTCAGAACAGCTCCTTCCAACAAACTCAAAATGTTGATCCAGTTGATCGACGAGGGGACAGAAATGTCTCTTTTGTCTTATCCAACTTATTCTTCGATGTATCCAGCTCTCGCAACAAACGGACTGACCTCCGCTCTGTGATGGGGAACCAGTCACGCCACAGCTCCAGTTTCTGGGTTTCAAAATGAAGCGCAACAAGTCAAGAATCTGGAAAAGTGCTTTGTTTACTTGGACCAAATGTGACCTAATCCCTGATCCGTTAGTTCTGTGCAGTTCTGAATAAAGGCTGATTAACTGTGACTATAATTTAGCAGATTAAACAATGATGGCTGAAAATAAAATTTAATGAAAATGTTCAATGGGATGTCAATGATTGTAAATTATAAAAGGCTGTGACGTAGATGCCAGATTTTAGGTCTTAATTTAAAGATGTTTTTAAATGAACTGGTTTGTTTTGTTAGGGTTCGGTCCAGACAGTACCTGCTGCTGGAGCTCACGTGCACAGGTGTTACAGCAGCATCCTGTCAGGAAATGGCAGACTCACCCAGGATCTCCCTGCACGGGTTCTCCTCCGTGATGGGCTCCCTGCAGGTGGGACACTGGCTGCCATTCTTCAACCACATCTCCATGCAGCACGAGCAGAACACGTGGTGGTTGGGGCAGATAACCGGCTGTCGGACCTTTGAAAAGAGGCAGAACCGAACCAGGTTTACCCGTCGGAACCGCGCAAACACGCAGGCTCGGCGGCCGCTTCGTCCGGTTAAACTCGTGGAAGTTAGCGGTTAAAAATCATGGCGGAGTTTACCTTTCCGAGGCAGATCTGGCAGGAAATCGGCAGAGTCAGCGAGAGAGTCGAGTTCTGGTAGTTTGCAGCCATAACTCCTGAGAAAACAACAACGAAAACAAACAAACAACATCGACAACTGACAAAGTCGGAGACAAACCGCCGTTCCGCGCTCCGCGTCACGTGACTACGGGAAGCTGAAGAGGCCAAAAATGGCCCCGAAGCTAAAAAAAAAACGTCGAAATGATAGAATTTTATAATTTACTAAACCTTATTAACTATTATTGAACTCGCTTGTAAACGTAAAATTATATATATATAAAAAATACGTGAAATATTTTCAATTATTTTTGGACAAATGAAACCAAAGAACAGACCAAGGTATGGAACCCAGAAAGTGCCAAAATAAAACTAAACTCCTCAGTTTATTAAACCATACATGTGGATAACCTGCTTCCTCAGTTTGATCATTTTTATGATGGATTTACCATCTATTCCATCTGTTTTAAAAAAAACCTGGGCGTGGTTGACCTTTTTACAGATACTAATGTGCATGTATAAAATCAGGCACCACGTGCTCAAATACAATCGTAGCTATTTCCCATATTCAAGTTGAACATTTAACTCTAGTGTTTTGGTTCCTGTTCACCTGCCTTTTTATTGACTTTCATACAAACATATTTATGCATTAGTTTCATTGGTATTTTACATTGTGACAGCAAAATGTCCTCAACATGCAATGTTGCCGGGTGTCAGAATGACTGTAGAGCTAAAACATAGATATGAATGGTGACTGGTTTAACAAACAAAAAGTAGGCAGGAATTTATCTACACCACAATGCATCGCAAAATACCCACTTTGAGCATGTGCATTAACGCCCATAAAAAAAGTCAATGAGATTCTTACATGAAGCTGTTGGGATTTGTGTTTTGGGCTTTTTTATTGTCTTTTTGTGCTTGTTGTTGGTTTTATTTTTCTCCTTTTGGTTTTTATGTTTGCTTATTCTGTTTTGTTCTGTTCCCCCTGTGCCTCCGCCAGTCCTTACCCCTCAGTGTTTGTCCAGTCAACCTGCCACGTCCGTCTACACCTGCCCGCTGTCTCACCTGCCACAGCTGCAGACACTTCCTTCATTAACCCCTGGCTTCTGAGTTTTAAACAAACATAATCTTTTCTTGTAAAATGATACAACTTTAGCCGCTTTAGTCAAATTTTTTGAATAGTTTTGTGCGCTCTAGTTGTTAGCACTCAGTGTATGTGTTGGAAAAGATTCTCAACTACTACCACACCAAATTTAATCTCAGTATCCGAATTGTGATGGCCTTGCGACCTGTCCAGGGTGTACCCTGCCTCTCATACTGTGACTGCTGGACATGGGCACCAGTGACTCCAGCGACCCGAAAAGGAAAAAGCAGGTAAAGATAATGGATGGATGGATGGATGGATGGATGGATGGATATCTGAACTGTTGACTGAGTTAAAACCTTTTATGTTTGTTTCATTGTTTTCTGAGGTTGATAAGTTGTGGTGGCCATCTTCAACTGGATAGGACTACATCCAGTGATTACTTAAAACTTGATTCACATTTTATTTTCTGGTGATATGCATTCACTGATGAGAGTGATGGTAACGTGTTGGGCTGATAATAACCATAAAACACTGATTATTGTATCTGCTGTTCTGTTTAACATAAACTGAAGGTAATTCAATCAGATATGAATACCAAACTTGGGAGCATTGGTAATATACTCCCTCCATAAATAAATGAAAACCTTACCACCTAAGCTTCTCTGCTTGGAGATGCTGGGATGAACTGAAATTAAAGCGACTGTGAGGTGGGAGATAATGTACTAGGATTTAGTAAAACCATTTAATTTACCATAAATCCGTCATCATGAGTCATTCTAAAATTAGAGTGGAGTTCACATCTCATTGAATAATAACAATAAATAGTAATAATATTAAATAATCTTTTGGAAGTTTCCAAGAGCTTTGTGTGGCAAAAACTAAAAACATTTGAAAATATGAAGTATATATATAAATAAATTGTTCTTCAAGAAAAAAAAAAAAATCAATTGCAGTATCTCAAAAACAACAAATACAATTTAGCTTCAGTTTTTCATCCTGATTGTTTTGTGTGAATCTCATCAGCCCAGTGAGTTATTGTTTAACTCTTTTGCATGTCTTAATCTCAAGTAAAAATTAAATGATTTATGATTACAGGTACAAAGTGGACTAATATTAGCATAAACTCTACTAAAAAATACTTCAAATTGCATCTCCGCCACAGTTTAACCCTGCGAGGCCATTACTCATATCTAAAGGTGCACGTCCTGTTCTTTGTGGTATTTAAAACCAAGACATCTTCCCAGGATCTAATACGATTAGAATTGACTGAGTGCAAAATAACCTTGTACGCTGATCCCAGATTAAAAACATCACCGATCCTGGTTTGATTGTTTTCGGTGGCCTATTAGGTGCATCAAAAGCCACCAATTGTTCTCACTCATTTTTCATACCTGAAGGGTTTTTTTTTATCAGATGAGGCTCTGACAAATGCACAGGATAAATAAATTACAGTCTGAAATGTTGCATCAATTTACATGACATTATTCTGTGTTACTGAGGTTGAATCCTTGTACTCAGACAAAGTGCATTTCCTACAACAAATACAACAATTGGAAAAAGGTGTTCCCTTTATCATCACTTCCGGTTACTGCTCAAGTGAACATCTCAGCAACTGTTCATCTCAGCTGTGTCTTTTTTTTTTTTTTTTGGACATGTTTTTTTTAAATATATATATTACGTTTCTAATAATGCATTTGTGTTTGAAATCGTAGTTCCATTCATTTGCATACACGAAAACAGTGGTTGCTTTCTCTAATGCCGATGCTTTTTAAATCTAGGTCTCAGTGTGGAGGTTTTTGGAAATGCCTGGCATCGTTTAAAGAGAAAACGCAACTTACATGAAGCCTTACATGCACTCTACAGTTAAAATCAGTCAGCAGGGTTTTTTTTTGCGCAAGTTGTTCAGCAATGGCGGATACTGTTTGTGCTGATCACTTTTTTCAACACTGAGGAGCAACCAAGTCAAGATGGTGCCAGTGGGTGTGGCTCGCCTTCTGTCTCAGCCAACTTTGTTTGTTCTTATGCTGTTTGTATTGTTTGATATGATTTGACTGTTTTTATTACTTGGCTTTATTTTGGAAGAAAAAGCTTTGTCATTGTACCAAAATACAGTGAGATTATGTTCATACAGTCGTTCGAAAGATGGGCAGAGTGCACGATGGTATTACAAAAAGATCTCTTCACACCTTGTACTTATTGGACACGATTTAAGACATCAACAAACTCTACCAGCAAGCTCGTTACATATGCATTTGACAACAAGATGGCGAGATTTGTTTATGAAGCACTTCCAGATAGCACCTGATAGTATGTTGATGTCAGTCGGTACAGCTCTAATAAACATTCACAGAAGTTCTCGAGGCGGGGGGGGGGTTGATAGACAAAGCTTTCTTAGTTTACACATATACCAGGAGAAATTTGATAAGTCAGCCTGCTTCGAGGCCAAACGGGGGAGTCGGATTCAGATAAGCCACAGTTATTGATTTTTTTTTTCAGGCAGACTATTATTTCTCATCAGCCTTGAGTTCTGCGTTTAATCCAAAATGGCCAGATTTTGTGGGAATTCCACTGGTCTGTGCTTATGAACCCCCTCCGAGGTTGTCCCCAACATGCTGGCGAGTTCCAGAAGCCGCATGTGGCCTGCAATTCTCACAAATCACTTCAATCTTACGACTTAGATTGTAAATCGGCTGATTTTGAGCACTCGAAGCACGAACCAAACCTTCACATGGGGTAGGCAGCTTTGCCATGGCCGAAACAAATGTGGTTTGACAGCAATCCTTTTTAGCAGCCACAGTTGTTTGACATGTTTACTCGTTTACACAGCAGCTGGGGGTAGTCACAGCTGGGCAACTGTGGCTGAGGGGTTAGAGCAGTCATCCTCCAATGGGAGAGTTGGGGTTCGACTCCACCAGCAGTCACATGTTGAAGTGCCCCTGGGCAAGACACTGAACCTCTCATTGACTCTGAAATGTGTCCCATTGATGTATAAACATGATCTAAAGAACTGATTAGTCTCCACAGGTTCAGATTAACTTTGTATAGATCTAGTAGAGTGCTGTATGA